GGGCTCCACGACGGACGAGGCGGACTGCACGTATGCCACGGCCCACTCCAACGTCGAGATCGGGATCGGTAAGACCTACCCGACTACCTCCATGAAGCTCAACATCGGCGCCTACGCCGAGCTCGCCCCCTTATTTGACGAGACTTCCGGCGCGACGAAGATCGGCGACCCCTCACTCGAGGAGAGCTTCACGACCGCCACGCCCCTCTCAGAGATCGATGTGGCCTCGCTGCTCTTTCTCCACCCTTGTGCGGCCGTGCTGGCGCTGCTCCTCGCGGCGTGCCTTGAGCCGCTGCTGCGTGGGCAGGTCAAGAAGAAGAGGGTGGAGGGCCGCAGCCACGCAGCGATCTCCGTACCCTTGCTCGCCAGCACGCGTGCTCTCCGAGTTGGCATTGTGATCCTCTTCTTCCTGCAGGGCGTATGGGGCACCCCAGCGGCACCGCCCGTCAACGTCAGCAGCCCGTGCTCGCTCACGGACGGCGGCTGGTGCGCCGCGTCGCCAAACTACCCGAACAGCTACGGCAACAGCGAGGAGTGCACCATCAGCGGTGTGCCGCCGGTCGGGCTGGAGGTGATCGGTTTTGATGTGGAGGCGTACGGCTGCCGCTACGACTATCTCACCGTCAACGGCACAAAGTACTGCGGCACGTCGGGGCCGAGTGGCGCGGTGGCGGAGGACGGCGTCATCGAGTGGCGATCGGATGGCTACGAAGTCAGGTCGGGCTGGAAGGCGCGCCCCTGGTCCCTCTCGCCTCCCCTTCCTTCTCCTCTCTGATGCCTATCCTCCCTCTGCCGTCAGATCTGCTGGGCGACCCGGCCGCCTCCACCGCCATCACCGCCATCACCGCCCCAGCTGCCGCCGCTCTCCCCCGGCTTCGATGTCGCCGCGGAGAGCGAGGACCAGCTCCGCAACCTGATCGAGGACGCTACTTCAACTCCTGCCGACGTCTCCGTCTACCTGCCTCCCAGTGCGCACTTCAAGCTGAGCCGCCAGATCAGCTGCACCTCCAACATCAAGGTGACCGTCGCGAGCAGCGGCGAGGGCGCGACGCTCGACGGCCAGGAAGAGACCGCGCTCTTTTACCTCTCGGGCGGCTGCAGCCTCACCCTGCGGGGGCTGACCCTCGTCAACGGGTGGGCGGGTAGCGGCGGCGTTGTGTATGCGTACGGCGCAGGCGCCGTCGAGATCATCGACTCGAAGATGAAGGACTGCTCTGCTGAAGTGCGCCGTGTAGAGCTAGCGGCCCTCCCTGCAGCGCCGCACGGCAGCGGGGCGAGAGGTAGAGAGGGCCACGGCTGCCTCACCCCGCTCTCTCCTCGCAACCGCAGTACGGCGGCGTCGTCTACACGAGGGACAGCGGTGCGGTCTCGATAACCAGATCGAATGTGGAGGGGTGCTCGGCTTCCTATGTGCGCCGCGTAGAGCTTGCAGCCCGCCCTGCAGCGCCGCACGGCAGCGGGGCGAGAGATGGAGAGGGCCACGGCTGCCTCACGCCGCTCTCTCCTCGCAACCGCAGCGAGGCGGCGTCGTCTACGCGGCGTACAGCGAGTCCCTCTCCATCGCGGGTGTCGACTTCATCAACAACTCGGCTTCAACAGGCTCGGTGCTGTACCTGCTAAACCACGAACAAACCTCCATCAGCAACGCCTCCTTCACTGGCAACGACGGTGTCACGATACAGACTGAAAACTCGGAGATAGACTGGGACTGCCGCTTGGGCAGCTGGATGCCGACCAAGGGCGCCTTTGAAGGCGACTTCAGTGTCCCCGAGTGCAACCCTTGCCCCGCTGGCTACTATGGGGCAACGACAAACCTCACCGACTCCTCCTGCAGCGGCCAGTGCACCAGGGGCCACTTTTGCAAGGAGGGGACCGCCGACCCCGAGCCCTGCCCGGTCGGCACTCGCATGCCCGCCCTCGGCGCGGCGAGCAGCGAGAGCTGCATCCCGTGCGCTCCAGGCCAGCATCAGCCCCTCGCGGGAGAGGAGGAGTGCCTTCCTTGCGCAGCGGGCTCCTTCTCTCCCGACGTCGGCCTCGCCGCCTGCGACCCTTGCCCGCGCGGAGGCCATTGCGAGGAGGCGGGCGCCGCTACCCGCATGGTCTGGGAGCCGTGTCCCGCCGGCAGCTTCAACCCGGCCAACGGCTCCAACTCGAGCGCCGCGTGCGAGCTCTGCCCCGCCGGCACCGCGAGCGCAACGCGGGGCGCGGAAAGCAGAGAGACGTGCTCGCCGTGTGAGCCCGGCCATTTCGCCGCCACACCCGGCCTCGCCAAGTGCGAGCGGTGCGCCGCGGGATTCTATCAGAACTCGAGTGGCGCCGAGGAGTGCACCCGCTGCAAGCGTGGCAGCTTCTGCCCGGTCGGCGCGTCGCTCGAGCTGCCTGCGGCGTGCGAGCCGGGTACATACGCCAACGTCACGGACGGCGACGGCATCCCCGACTGCTTCGACTGCCCGGCGGGCTCGTCGTGTCCGGGCGGCGCCGCGTCTCCGACGCAGTGCGCGGCGGGCACGATCGCGCCGGCCGAGCGGATGGAGGCGTGCGACAAGTGCGCGGGCGGGACCTACCAGAGCGATACGGGCGCTACGGGCTGCCGCGCGTGCAAGCAGGGCAGCTACTGCGCCGTGGGCGCCGCGGCGCCGCTGCCGTGCGAGGCGGGTTCCTACTCGACCGCGACCAACCTCACCGACGCGAGCGAGTGCACCGACGCCACGCCGGGCCACTTCGCCACCACCGGCTCCACCGAGCAGACGGCGTGCGCCAAGGGGTCGTACACGAACGAGACCAGGCAGGGCGAGTGCACGCCCTGCGCCGGCGGCACGTACCAGGACATGGGCGGCAAGACGGAGTGCAAGCCGTGCGAGGCGGGCGGCTACTGCGCTGTTGGCGCGGCGGCGGCGCTGCCGTGCGAGGCTGGCAGCTACTCGCGCGCCACCAACCTCTCCGCCGCGAGCGAGTGCACCGACGCCTCGCCGGGCCACATCGCCACCACGGGCTCGACGCAGCAGACGCCGTGTGCCAAGGGAAGCTACGCCGCCACGGGCGGCCTCTCCGAGTGCGCGCAATGCGAGGGCGGGACGTACCAGAACGACACGGGCGCAACTGGCTGCCGCGACTGCGAGAAAGGCAGCTACTGCGAGCCGGGCGCGTCGAGGCCGCTGCCGTGCGAGGGCGGGTCCTACTCGAACAGGACGGACCTGTCGGCCGCCTCGCAGTGCACGCCCGCCGCTCCGGGCCACATCGCCGCCCGGGGCGCCACCGAGCAGACGGCGTGCGGCGCGGGCAGCTTCGCCAGCGGCACGCGCAACGAGGTCTGCCAGCTCTGCGCCGAGGGCTCCTACCAGGGCGCGACCGCCGCGAGCGAGTGCACCGACGCCTCGCCGGGCCACTTCGCCACCACCGGCTCCACGCAGCAGACGGCGTGCGCCAAGGGGTCGTACACGAACGAGACCAGGCAGGGCGAGTGCACGCCCTGCGCCGGCGGCACGTACCAGGACATGGGCGGCAAGACGGAGTGCAAGCCGTGCAAGCAAGGCAGCTTCTGCGAGCCGGGCGCGTCGGCGCCGCTGCCGTGCGAGGCTGGCAGCTACTCGAACAAGACGAATCTTGACTCGGCGGGCGGCTGCGAGGACTGCCCTTCGGGCCACGCTTGCACCACTGGCAGCGCGACTACCATGGCTTGCCGCGCCGGCACATTCGCATCCGGCTCGCGCAACGCCGAGTGCGAGCCGTGCAAGGCGGGATCCTACCAGAACGCCATCGGTGCTGCCGGCTGCGTCCGGTGCGGGCTTGGCAGCTTCTGCCCGGTCGGCGCGTCGCTCGAGCTGCCTGCGGCGTGCGAGCCGGGTACATACGCCAACGTCACGGACGGCGACGGCATCCCCGACTGCTTCGACTGCCCGGCGGGCTCGTCGTGTCCGGGCGGCGCCGCGCGTCCGACGCAGTGCGCGGCGGGCACGATCGCGCCGGCCGAGCGGATGGAGGCGTGCGACAAGTGCGCGGGCGGGACCTACCAGAACGACACGGGCGCGACATCCTGTCGCGCTTGCGAGGCGGGCGGCTACTGCGCTGTTGGCGCGTCGGCGCCGCTGCCGTGCGAGGCTGGCAGCTACTCGCGCGCCACCAACCTCACCGCCGCGAGCGAGTGCACCGACGCCTCGCCGGGCCACTTCGCCACCACCGGCTCCACGCAGCAGACGCCGTGCTCGCCTGGCACTTTCGCCGCGAAAGAGGGGCAGTCCAAGTGCGAATCTTGCGATCCCGGCACTTCGTCGAATCAAGGCAGCGTCGCGTGCGACGAGTGCGAGGCTGGCAAATACGCCGCCAACGCTGGACAAAGCCTCTGCAATCTATGTCCGCATCCCCTCAGCTCGGCCAGCGGCAGCACCACCTGCTCGTTTTGCATGGACGGCTACTACTTGCGGAACACCTCGGCCGATCCGGACGATATGTTCAGATCCCCGACCGAGTACTGCAAGTCCTGCCCAACGAACGCCGTTTGCCCAGTCAACACGTCTCTCGAGTCCCTCGGTATCCCGGCCGGCTTCTGGCGCGCCAGCCCCTTTACCGCCGTGCTGGCAGAGTGCGGCGGCTTTGGCGGCGATGGCGAGGCCGGCGAGAAGCGATGCGCCGGCAGCGAGGCAGAGGCCTCTCGTCGCCGGAGGATGGAGGTGAGCTCTTCGGACGAGTACTGCGCTTCCGGCTTCACTGGCCCGGAGTGCCAACTCTGCGCCGCAGAGAACCAGTACCTCGTCGATGGCGTCAACTGCAAGGAGTGCGCGGCGCGCGACGCGGCGGCGGGCCGCATCGCCGGCCTCGTCCTCGGCCTCTGCGTCGCATGCGGCTTGGCGGCGTGGGCCTACCACATGCCGTGGCGGAAGGAGCGCATCATCGGCTCTATCCTCCGCTTTGCAGACCGCTCCGTCAAGTACTACGTCGGGGTCGGAATGACGGCAAAGCTCAAGATCCTGTTTGGCTTCTACCAGATCTGCACCGTCCTCTCCTCCACCTACTCCGCGCGGCTGCCGGACAAGTACACGGGCTGGACGGACAACTTGGCCAACGTGATCTCCATCGACTGGTCTGGCTTTTTCCTGCCGGAGCAGTGCCTCGGCTACGCTCTGCGGCTCCTCGCCATCGCCCTCTCCCCCGTCGCCCTCATCGCCCTGCTGATTATCGCGGGAATAAGCCTGCGGCTCTACCGCTGGCGTGCCGCCCCGGCGCCGCGCGAGAGGCCGTGGTACGCGGAGGCGGCCCTCGGCCTCCTCGACCTCACGCCGGCCGGCCTCGTGCTCATCTTCTGCTTCGTGCCCTCCATCAGCGCCTCCATCTTCCGCTCCTGGTCGTGCCAGGCGCCCTCTCACAGCTGATGACTGCCGTTGCTCACAACCCCACACCCCTCAGTCCTCGTAAGTTTCTGCTGATAGGCCTACACCATCTCTCCGCCCGGCGAGGAGCTAGAGCAGGTCTCCTACATGCGGCAGGACGCGAGCGTCGAGTGCGGCTCCGACGATCACGGACCCATCACCGCCCTCGCCACCGGCTTCATCGTCCTCTGGCCCGCCGGCTCGCTGGTCCTCTTCACGTCGCTCCTCGCCGCTTGCTACAAGCCGCTGCAGGCCAAGACGCCGAATGCTCTGACGCGGGCCACCGCCTTCCTCCACCGGGAGTACGAGAAGACCTGGTACTGGTGGGAGGCGGTCGAGCTGGCGCGCAAGCTCGTGCTGACTGGCTTCGTGCTTCTGATCCCGGAGGAGCGCGCCTTTGTTCGCCTCGTGGTGGCGACGCTCATCTGCTCATGCTACGCCGTCGCACTCGCCGTCGTGCGGCCGTACAAGCGGGTCGAGGACAACGTCATCGCCGTCGCCACGAGCCTCGTGCTCCTCCTCCTCTTCCTCGGCACCAACTGGAGCACCATCTTCCTCGGCATCCAGGAGCGGTACCAGGGAGTAGATCCCGCCGATGTCCTCGGCTTCCGCAGCCTCAATGTGATTGTCGACTCGATGATCATCCTCGTTGCAGTCGTGCTCGCCTTCTTCCTCGTCGGCGCCATCATCGCCGCCCGTCGCGTCGCCAAGATCCCCACGATCCGACTCGTCTCGACCAAGCAGCCCCCCGAGCTGAGCATCGTGAGGGGCCTCACGTGGCACCTCTTCAACAGCCACATCTGGTGAGTCACGGCTATGGAGGGAGAGAGGGAGCGAAAACAGCCGGCGTGACCCCCGTCCCTCACCCAAACGAATAGGTCGACCGGTCAAGACGCCGTCAAGGTCATCAAGGGTGAGCTCGAGCAGCTGCTGCCGGACATCAAAGTCTTTCTCGACGCGCGCACATGCTCATCAGCGCTGCTTAAGCTACACACAGAGCCCCCCTGACGCACCGCGGTGTGCTCATAGGTAGATGATCTCAAGGATATCGGGGCGCTGGAGGAGTACATCCAGAGCTCGCAGGTCATCCTCTTCTTCCTCTCGCAGGGCTACTTCCGCTCCAAGGCTCGCCTCTTCCTCCCACCCCGCCCCTCTACCGCACCCTGGCCCCAAGAACTGCCGCCTCGCCCGCGCCACAGAACTGCCTCCGAGAGGTCCGCTCGTCGCTCGAGAAGGACAAGCCGCTCGTCCTCGTCCAAGAAGCGGACCCTGAAAAGGGCGGCGGGACGCTCCAGGCGCTGCGCGACGAGTGCCCCGAGGACCTGCAGCCGGCCATCTTTGACGAGGACTGGCCGCTCACGATTTGGTATCGCATCGATGAGTTTCAGCTCATCTCGC